GGAAAGTTTTAAGTCATCTCTGTAAACTGTCACTCCAAGACTTTACATTTCAAGTAATGCTTTATTTAATTAGAAAAAATTCAAATATTATTTTTCTTACCATCATCGCACGTAAAATCCTGAATTGCCACATCCTGGATGGGAATCTCTTTGAGGAAGTAGGGTTTTTGGCAGCGAGGGTTCCCCGTCACAATGCGTTTCTTCCTTAGCCAGTCTCCAAGCCATGCAAGATGGCAGTTGCAGTTGAAGGGATTGGCCAAGAGGTTTCTGAGAATCACGGGAAAGTTTACTTCCGATGACATAATTTTTTCATCTTAAGTATTCTATTTCTATTTTCAAAAAGCTACGCTTAAATACCATTCTTCAAACAATACTACGTATAAAACATAGGTGAAAGCTGTAATTGAGGCTCTGCGTGGTGAATCTTGATATAACTCATTTAGAAATAATTTAAAACTGTCAAAGACCTGACTTCTTGTCAAGCCACTCTGTACTGATAATGCTATAAATTCATGTAGAAATGAAGGGTGATTACTTTACATTATTAGCTTTAACCTGGCAACAGCTATTCCATTAATTTGTCATCTCAAGATTTCCATCTTTTATTTGCTCCAGAGAGTAAGTTTCCTATCTGAAGTGACAGCTAAGTTGATTACATGCCAGTTACAAAAATGAATTTACTTCTAGAAGTTTCAGTACTTTTGGCATCTCCTTACCTCAGCACAAACCTATCAACAATTCCATTATTTATAAACATGCCATCCTTAATATGCACAAATTAGTCACTTGGTGCAAAGTGTCACTTTTTATGTAAAAATGGGATTAAGCACTTTCCTGAATGATGCTACCTACAAAAAAACATTTCTTCAGTGACAGCTTTGCTCACCAGTTTCCCTTCCCTTAATTACATCATATTTAAATAAAAAAAAGACATGCTGCTTTTTATAGAAAATGAGACTGAAGCGTCATTATAAAACATGTATGAATAAAGATCCCCTGTAGGCTGAGGAAATTTAAGATAATAATTGGATGGCACAGTGCAAAAAGACAGATATGGTGGTTTGGCCACTTGTGATTGTGCAATGCCTATCCAAAAAGTGGGTTTCTACTTGGCTCAGATCAGTGGGCTTCTGTAAGGTGGGCAAGCAGGATGTTTTTTATGCCTTCTCAGGCACTTCTGGAAACCAGTCTAACACTGCATCCAAGGACACCATGAAAACATACTATTCATGTGTCCAAGATGGTCCAGAAAATAAACTTTCTCAAAAACCCCTTTATTAACTCTTTTCTCCTTTAACTTTACTTCATGCTGTGAAATTATACAGTAAACCATTAACAGAAACATCCCCAAAACATTTGACGTTTAAGCTTGGATAAGGTAAAACACGAGCGCGACTTACAATGTAGAGAGTGAATGCAGGGTATCGAAGGAGCCAGGTGCCACCGTGGTGATCTGGTTGTCATATAGCGAGAGCAGGCGGACTGAGCTCAGGCCCGTGAAGCTGTCGTTTCCCACACAGCTCACGCGGTTGCTCCTCAGCATCCTGAGAAAGGAACGATCAGCATTTCTTAGCTTAGCCCGAGCAGGGGCTGGAGCTGTAGTGGTGGCCCAAGCAGGGGCCAAGAGGTATGACTCCAAAGAGAATGCTACCAGCCGAGGAAGCCCAGCGCAGTGACCCCTGTGCCGCCTGTCACCCCGCTGAAGGGACTAAGTGCGGTGTGCGTGGAGGGGACTGAGAAACAGGAAGCTGGGTGGGTAGGTTTCACAGAAGCAAGGGGTGTTTCCCCTAAGCATTTGTGTTTTGGTTTTTTTTTTTCTTTCAGTACCAGAATCAGTAACTATTAGTTTAATTGACAGTAAATTAAATTGATTGGAATTCCCCAAATCAGTGATACACAGCAGCCTCTTCTTCATGTTTCCAAGCCTGCTATTTACATGGAGCACAAGGCTGTACCAGCTGACCTCCTCCTGAGGCCCCTTGGACCTGAATTTACTTAGGATAAATTCTAGAAACCACTTCTACTACATTCTCAAGCATTTCAGTTAAATAAAATCAGGCTACTCTGACTCGTCCTCAGCAATGCCCTAAGATTTTGTAAAAATTTCTTAATACTAAGCAAGAAACACTTATTCCAAAATTGCTCATACTTCTGTAAAACATGCTCATACTTCTGTAAAACATGCAGGCTTTGAAGTTTTAAGTTTTCCTATCTGTCCATCAATAAATGAGTATTTTCTTTCCCCATGCTCTTGTCTAAGTGTAGCTGTTTCTAAGAATTTTAGCAGCTTTAAATGTAAAGTTAGAAATGATAGGCCTGATTTATTGAAAATATCTAATGTTTATGGACAGCTGAAGCCCCAAAGACCATTTGATCTTGGCTCTGCTCTGCCGATCAGAAGGCCAAGAAGCTGTGGATTGTATAAACATCTTTTTTTGAGCGGAAAGAGCTAAACTACTTTCATGGAAAGAATGAAATGAGTTCAAGCTATATTGCTTTTACTCCTCCCTTCACTGTTGAAATGACATTAAAATTACTTAGGAGAGAATAATTTCCCACATTTCAATATCCACCAGAATAGTTTTTTCCTCTAGCAAAATCCTCAGTAATGGTTGAGCTGAATTGAATCAGACTCCATTACATAAAATGTGTAATTCCCATGCAAAATTCTGTTACTTTGAAGCAGATGATTATTCCCATTTCCGTTTCTGCAGTGGGATGTTTATGCGTTCTCAACGGCTTCATCATTTTAGAGGACTCTAAGTTTCTGTAGTCAAGTAACCACAATAAAGAATTATATCCATATTAATAATTGATGGATTCACAGAATATATGATAACTTTTTGTAAAATAGGAACAAAAACTAAGATATAACTAATAATCCATAGCTAATCTCCCAAAATCAAAGTTTTTGGGATAGATAGAATATTACTTTAAAAAATACTTGGCAGAAAGAAATTATAAAAACACACAAATAATTACACTTACAGTGTTTTGAGACTTTCTAGTCCTTTGAACATTTTGTGTCGAACGCTTTCCAAGCGGTTGCTAGTGAGCAATAGCTCATTCACACCAGAGGCTCCATCAAATGCTCCTTCTTCGATATCAGTAATCTTGTTATTGCTCAGGTTTCTATTGCACAGTAACAGAAACAGAGAAAAATACATTCTCTTTTTTAAATATCCTAAATTAACTGTTTAATGCTGCATACTGCATTGATTTCAAGATACTGAGATACTGTGTAAAAGCAACAAATTTATTGTTCAACTTGACAGCAATAAAAGCTAAATTCAATACCATGCTAACTAAAGAAGTAAAGATTTTTAAAGCAATCTTTGGAAGATGTTTTTAAATAATGGCAACTACACCATCCATGCTGCTGCTACCCAAGATCATCTTTTCATAATTTTTAATCTTGTCAGTGACTGTATTTTTTTTTCATGTCTTCAGTCCTTGTAGCTTTATTAGACAAATTAATAACAAAAATACATTGTATGAGTAGCAGCACAACTAACCTCTCTGATTATTTCACCTTGGTAGACACAAATATAAGAAAACAGTATAAACAGCAACATATGTAAATGTAATGTGTGAATGTAAACAGTAAATGAGACGTTAATAATCTATGACATTAGTTAAAAAGGAGGGTTTATAAGCAAGATAGTTCATTTATCTGCAATTTGCATGCAAAGCAGATAAAAATGTGGGAAAATGACCTAAAATACTGCCAAAATATTTAGCATTTATAGTTTTCACTTGAAATATGGATATTACATTCCAAATGGCTAGTATCTGTACAGTATATACAAAAGCATACATACTCAACAATACACATTTTCTTAAAGATTTTTCATGTTATTCTTGCCTCCTTTTGTTGCGTTTGTTTCTTATAACTATTATACATATTACAGAAGTACATATCTACACACTTAACTGTTATAACACACTAGTTATTTTTAAAAAGCTCTTAGAAATGCTCTGAGAAAATGTAAAGGGAAGTGAAGCTAAAAACTTTTTATTTGATGGAATTGGGAATAAAATCAAACATTATTTGATGCAACATCGAGAACACCATTTTTGTTGTTCAAATCAAGAAAGATACTATTTGTCAGAACAAAAATTTATTCATTTGCCAGAATGAACTAGTGTTATTATCTAAGACATAGAAAACAAGGTTGTGGCTTAATCTTGAATGCTGACTACTCATCTCTAGCCTAGCTGTAATTTAATGTACACTCTGCCTGTGATGAAGCATACAATCATTGTTTTCATTTCGTTTCACAGTGGAGCTGTTCAGTCTCCTGTAAGGTGCTGCACAAGACTGTAAGCAAGAAATTCATTATTTCTCATCTCAGCTGGCTTATCTGTGTCATGCACTTGTAACACGGATACTACTTCACCCACTTCACAGGGATATTTTAAGGATTAATGTTGCATAGCTAATCAATGATGCAGTGCATACACGTGCTTTATTATGGATGAACCATCAAATCAATTAAACATTTAGGCCCCGATTTTTCATTGTCATCTGTGCAGAAAGACCTCTGCACCTATTTGAACCTCCGGAAGAAATATGAGCTGCACAAAAATACAGAATTCACTCATATTGGTGTCTCTGTCACATCATTACCTCACTGCTTTCCAATCATGCTTAACCAGTCACTGTACTATTCTCTAAACTGAAGAATGTTGTAACAACTGATAACTATATCAGGAAGTTATGGAGCAGTATTATATAAAAATGTTAATTTTTCATTAACATTTTCTCAGTTTTGTTCCTCCTCAATTATCCAGATTTCAAAGCTCTTGGGAGCTCCAATATACAGCTGCACTGAGACCAAATAATATTCTTCTTCTTCTTTCTTTTGTCTTGAACACCTCCTCAACTAAAAAGTAGCAAGCTAGCTTTAGGTGAAACGAAATGTTTACTAAGCTATACCTTTATAGACTGAAAATATATAAGTACTGACAGTATAAACCATTTTCCCTGTTTTTCTTAAGTATGAAGGACTGATATATGTGTGTGCATGTGTGTGTGTGCATGTGTATGTATGCCACAACAAGTATTTTATTTATTTTAAAGGCAACCTGTAGCTGTAAAAAATGTTAATCTGAGATCTTTGAGGAAGGAAGAAAAGTGAGTATCTCCTGTATAGCACCAGAACACTGCAGTGCAAGCATTCCTACATTCTTTTTTTAAGTATCTCAGCCCAATATGAAGTGGCAAGGTGTACTCAGGTGACAGGTCAAAAGCAAAGTTGTTTTTTCCTGTGTGTTGTTTTGTTTTATTTTTTAATCTTTGGTCTATCAACTAAAAAAAATCAGTAATAAGTATTTAATCAATTGTGATCATGACAACTGCCAGCAAGGATCTGGGTAAGGCTAATAGCTTAAGTAATACTATTGCTCCCCTTGAGATTTTGGTCACTAGTAATATAGACTGAACCTTTACAAATGGTAGTAACTTGGGTGACTACATTCAAAAAGCAGTGCATCATTTTCATTAATCCAATCTACTCTTACTTGCATTTTTCTTCACTTACTATTTACGTTTGGATTTATATCCTGAAAAGACTGAGCACAGAGTCATTAAGTCTAACTGAATGATCTACTCTCAAATATGTCTTTTATATAAGCAAAAGAAAAACTTTTCATAGATTTATTTTTAATAACGTGCAACTGGTAAGATTATAAACTCCTCTTAGAACATGAACTGTGAACATGGACTTACATGGATGAGCTATCAAACCATTTTTTTCTCAGTCATTTAATTTTGATATTCCCCTCATCTAATGACAGTTTAATGAAGCACAGAATCAAAGGCATGTCTTGAATGTGCTGAAAGAGGCAAAATTGCCTAGTTAGGGAGTAGTACAAGAAGTTACAAAAGACTACTGAAACCGTTTTTGAGCAGCTTATACTGTGAGCTCCCTGCTGTGGCTGTGTAACAGACCAGCTGGCTGGACACTGCAGTGAAGGTGCCAGAGCTACACACCATGAGAAGTTGTTACTGGCAGTGTCTAGTCCCACAGAGAAGAGCTGCCAACTCTGATCTACCTCAGTGATTAATTTAAATCCATTCTTGATCTTTGATTAGAGTGTACTGAATCCTTTATAGATAAGAACTAAGAGAGGTGGAGAAAGGCAAGGAGCTAACATGCCACCTGTATAGACAAGGTCACTGAAGTTGCACTTACATTTTACGCAGCTGAGGAAGTTTCTTAAAGATTCCAGTAGCTTCCAGGACTGAAAACTCATTGTTATTTAGTCGCCTACAAGAAATTACATCAATTTCACAAAAAAAAATATTCAGGCAATGGTACAGAATGTTCCACAGTAAGTAAGGTTTTCAGACTAGTTTAACTGAATAGCTGGTGTTCAACTTAGAGCTGAAGAACAATTCCTTATATATTGACAGTTCTAATTCTGGTCATCCCTATGAATGAACATCCTCATTAGTTAAACTTCGGCATATATAAGACATACAGAATCAAAACCAGATCACAAAATACCATACAACTAAAACTGCTGAGAAATACAAGATGATGTTTTTAATTTTTCTTTTAAAGAAAGTTACAAACAAAAACGTAACTAAGGAAGGATTCCATGGCAACTTATAAATAAAAATCTTTAAGAAGTACATATAAACCACTGAAGATTAGTCTACTGTTCTTTAAAGGATATCAGGTGGGGTCTGCTAGACATCTGGAAGTGCTCACAGAACACAGTTTACAAGAATGAAATAATTAATGCTTAGTTCTTCTTTTCAATAGGTACTGAAACACACTGCATAGGTCTTCCCAAGAATTTACAAACATTTCTCTGACCATGGTTTATCTTCAGACTACTACACCTGACACAGATATATTGCAAAAGGAAGCTCTGTAACACTACAAGGTGGTATACAATGAGCCACAAATACTAGCTGGATACTGCTCTTTTCTGCTTAGGTATCGAGGCTGCTTCAGCATAGTATGCCTTCAGCAGCTGCTAGGTTAGGGGACCATCTATATTTGAGAAAATATCTGCACTGACACAGTATTCCCAATTTCCTTTCTTGAAAAGGAAACGGAAATTATGAGTCTTAAGATTCTTTGTATGTTTTAATGGAGTAATTTTATTAAGGAAGGGAGTCTGTCCAACCTCTATTTAGAGATCTTAAAAAGGAAGGAAGAGAGATGCCTGACACGATCACTGTGAAATGAAATTCAGCAAAATTCTAAACCCAGAATGCTTTTCAGAATTGCCTTATTGCAAGACAAGATTAAAAAAACCCTAGAAAATAAAAGAAAGCTGCCCATTCATCCTTCCTTCCTGCTCATTCTCAATGATAGTCAGATGGGAAATTAAGGTTGTAAATCTGAAGGTATGGCTGTACAACAGTTTCAGCAAACTGAAAGAAGACTATTTTGGATACAAGGAACATGAATTTCAAAAGATGCTACCACCTCTGAAAATCAGTTGGACAACTTAATGGGACTTAGTGGGACTGTATCAAATTATTTTTTTCACAGCATCCATTAACAAAGTTAAATCAACACTGTAAACAGTCTTTTTTTTCCCTGTCCATCAACAACAGAAGTGCCAAGCGTTCTATAAATGTTGACATTTTCAAATACTTTTCAAGTGCTACATTGTCTAATAGTATGATTTGTTTGTGAAAACATTTATTGATTCTAATAATACTTCCTTGCTGTGCTCTACTGCTAACTTTTCTAACCCCACTAAGAAAGACAGACAGTTTGATCCTTTCCTCTTCCCAACAACCTTTTACATAATAAAAATAATATGCTTTGTCTCTCCCTCAAGCTTCCTTCACACAAACGCATTCAATCTTTTCAGTTTTTCCTTGGAAGTCTTCTTTTCTAGATGATTATTGTTCTCCCTGAATTTTTTTCCAAGTGATTCACATGCATCTTTAAAAGTGAAGTCCTTGACACAGTATTCCAGCTGATATTTTCCTATTATGTACAGTAAAACAATTATTTCATATAACTTACATACTACACTCCTATACATACATCCCAAAATGAAATCAGTAGCAGTGCCCAATAGCACTCCTTCATCTTTAATATGTATGATAACACCACCGTGGCCTTTTCTCTTGAACTACTTGCTGGTTATTCCTCAATCTTGTACTTGTGGTGCTAATAAGTTCTACCTAATATCATATGCAGAATTGGAATTTTTATTTTATTTAAACTTGTCTTATTCTACTATCAATATTATGGAACAATTTTAAGAATTTTTCACGTGTATCAAAGATTTTCAGTGTTTGACAAGTTTCTTCATACTTCTCTATGATGGAAAGGAAGCATGGGTTGAATCACTAGATTGTGTTTGGTTAAAACTGTGGCACAAATTGTATCTTCTCTCTAACTTTGTGTATATGGTGATATCACAATTCATACTTCATCACTGAGAGTATATCTACAAATAAAGGGACAGCAAGAGTTACAAATTATGAGTTTGTGGTCAGAGGAATAAGCATATGGATCACATGGCACTTATATAGATGGAGATTGCTGACTTTACATCTGGAATGGTTAAATACTTGTGCAAGAAGTCTTCATTCTATTATCATGGTAAGTGATACCACACACAGAGGAATTAAAATTATTACAGATGACTGGAAAATTAACAGATATGGTGGTATCTTCCTCCGGATCTTAATATAATTATTTTCTGAGCCCAGTGCTCTTTACTGGTAAAGATAATAAATATAGTTGTTACCTGTCAATCACTGGATCATGAAAAGGATCTTGTATCTGGTTTATTCAAAGAAAAGTACTGAAATGTCATTCTCAAAACAAAAGTAAACAAGCATTTGGTGATGATGTCTAAATATTCTGTTTCTCTGTTTTATTTGATGCTTTCTCTTGTTTTATTAACACAATGGGTAGATATTTGCATGTTTTGGTGCAATAGCTGGACCTCCTTGGAAGGCTATGTACTGCAGTGATATTCATGCTTTCAAAAACTGTCTTGTTAGGATCTAGTATTATATCAGATATTGTACAAACATCATAAAAATCAAACATGTAAGACTGAAATTGTTTTTATTTTCTGTTTCTCCAAAATAGAAACAGAACATCACTTGTCTCATTTCTAAAATTTTTCACCTTTTACAATTAAGTATGTCTTGAACTGTATTATTATTTTCAGATATTTTAAAAACAACTACACTGAAGAAATAGGGGTTTTTTATGTGACATTATTACTGTTGCAGCCTACACAATCAATACTCTTTTCCTCACTTATGATCTTAGTTTCCAAGCTGAGTCTCAGCTCCAAACAACACCCTGCAGAGAATAACCCAGCCTTCCTCAGCACTGTTATAGAAGCATAAATGTCATTTGACTCTAACAAGTATCTTAATCTCAAATTTGGCATGTAAAAGAAAAGAAAACTAACTAGCTGCTCTTCTCTTATACGCCAGTAATTGTTGTGAACTGGAAATCACAAAGTGGTCCTAAAACTAGACTGGGAAGTCCCAAGAGGAGCAAATAAGGTACTGCATCAAAGACCAGGAACAACAGGAGGAAACAAGAGGAAAAGCTGTATTTAGCTAGAACAATTGGATTTTTAGAGGAAGTAAAAAAATGCAGAAATAATTCCTCTATCCACTCTGGAACATGTGTAAGGCTGTTGAAATTTTTATTACGTCAAGAGACTTGAAGAACAATCTGTACAGCTTAATAAGAAGAAGGTTGAATAGTGAATTTGTTACAATTTAAGACCATCTTACTGGATAATGTGCTGGGTAGAAAGGGGCTCTTTAATGGCAAAAAATATAAAAGAAGCAATGATGGAAACTGAAGAGAGGTAGATTCCATCTGGAAGTAAAATTTCCCATTTTAAAAGATTTTAACAGAAGTGATGGGAGATGATTAACTTCTGTAACACTCTCAGGGAAATGGTGATTTTTAAACGACTGACACCTTCAAACAAGACTGGATGTTTTAAAAAAGACGTGGTGTAACCAAACATGAATTATGTTTTAGACAAACACAATTTTTTTGTTGACTGAAATTTGAGAGTTCAAGATACACAGCAGATAAGGTTTGATGATTTAATTGTTTCTGCTGAATTTAATATGTATGAATCATAATTATAGAAAGCAAACACTTGACAGTTTATCTTCCACATGTAAATAAATGAATATGACAATCAACAATTAAAATACTAAATTAAGATTATTAACTCTTCAGAGAGAATTAAACATGAATCCTGCTTAGAATCAAGACAGTGCATGCTTGTCACTTCAACAACTCAATTTCTCATCTCTTAGTTCAGTAACTATGATTTTTACAACCATTACTTTATGATCTCCTCTTACACTTTAACCCTTTCCATCAGTTTTTATTCTTCAATTCAAGTAATTTTATCTCAAAATATTATAGCATGACATTATATGCATTTGGTGAGTATTTTCTGTCTTCTTGTGGACATTCCTCCACACTAAAATTTTTCTTTTCCCCTTCTTTTTGGTTCTTCAGCCTCTGTATTGTATCCCTAGCAAATCCTATATGAAAAAAAAACAAAAACAAACCAACCCAACCCATTTCTCCATCTCTCTTTATTCAAGATTGCGTATCAATTTTCTTCTCTGGCACTACTTGATGAATAGTGTGAACGTGGCCAAAAGCTGAGCTTTGCTCTTCCCACATATGACACTTTTTCAATTGAATTTGCCATCATTCTGGGCATAACTAGAATTACCACTCAGCTTTATAAGTAGAACATCATTAAGTTCAACTCCTTCTCCCAGCTCAGACACAGATAAAAAATCTCCATTTCTATTTACACAATATTTCAGTTTCAAATTTGTTTTCCTGTCCAGATATTCCAAATTCTTAACCATGGTCTCATTATTTCTTATCTTCACTGCTGTACTGTTGCTTTGATGCCAGCTGCAGAATGATTATCTTTTAAGAGATATGCCATAATGTTGCTCCTCTCACCCCTATGGGTGACAACTTGATTACAGTACTCCTGTCTCTACATCTTTGTCCCTGCTTTACTACATCAAATCAAAGTCCCTCTCTCTTGCCTCTCATCATTCTGCTCTTTACACTAAATCTCCTAGGAAAACCAGCTATTTCCTCCCCGCTTTGCTCTGCCAATGATGGTCACTTTCATCTCCTGCATCATCTTTCTGCTGATCCTTCAAGCATCTCTGCATTCCTGTTCTTACTATGTTTTGCACATGGGAAAACCTTGTAAAGCAGTCTTAATGTTATCTTTCAATCCCTCCTTGAAGAGCACTTCAGTTGTAATGCTTACAAATCATTCCCATATGGCACTTATTAAGCAAGTAATAATCTGTGACTTCTTCTCTGCTCATGTTTGTTCATTATATTATTATCTCATCTTCTTAACCCAACTCTGTCTTGTTTGTCTGCTTTATCTTCCTCTGGTCTCCTGCCAAACACACATAATGTGTGCTCTGCACAAGAAGAATCAGCTCTGTTCTATCAAACAGGTAGGTAGCACTTTTTAAACAGAACCCTGGTTACTGGATGTCTTACTCTTGTAAGTTAAAATAAAAAAACCCCTCAAAACAAATCATTACCTTTAAAAAAAATCCAGGCACAGAGCTCATGTACTGCAGAACTAGAAACATAGAACAGTTACCTCATTTATGTATCATAAGTTTTTAAGCCTACATGATACTGAAATGATGCATAAATTGTTTTTATTAATATCTAGTCCTTTGAAGTGCACCACAGAGGCTACATTTAATTTTTGTTGTTCAAAAGAGTAAAGCTGTGGTTTTCTGTTTGAAATTTTAAGTTAGTTTTTCCATAAGCAAATAATGCTTTATTATGGGTTCAACTTACAACTCTGCTGTGTACTGAGGGATGTGATCAGGAATTTTGTTGAGTTTCTGATTGGAGCAGTCCACTGTGGTCCCTTCACAGCGACATTTCTCAGGGCAAGCCAAATCTGCAAAGCAGTCTCCACTTAATTTGGATCTGTAATCTTCAGTGCCTGTGGAAGAGTCAAGTCAAAATACAGATACTGAGTCAACAAAGTATAAGATTTGCTTCTTGTGAGAAGGTTGAAAAGATGTCTGCAAGGCAAATAACGGGTGGGCAGCTTGGGAAATGTATGATAAACTTTGTGATACTGAACAGACACAAGGGCTTCAAGAGAGGGTTAAATATAGGGGCTTAAGATATGCTGGAAAAAGAAACTGTGACCAACTTCACATAACAGGATAACATTAACTTGAGCTTTTCACAGCTGTACTTTCTGCTGATTATGTTGTCAGCCAATCTAGCCTTTTTTATAACTAATCGCTCAAATGCCACTGATTCTTTTAGAATTTACTTTCTTTCTCTGTATCAAGACTAAATAGATACTGAATGCCACCTTTTCTTTTTCTCTTGTTACAAATTTGTATTGTTGACTGGACTTCATTAACCCCTGATATTTTTTTATAGTCCTGATACTCCACATCATCTCAAACATGTAAGATTGAAAGCCCTGTTTTCAGCTTTAATTTAAAAAATGTGTGATCCTGACTTAAGCCTCAGCAGCTTGCCATGCTGTAGAAAGCTGCGTGACGTTCCATGGTGCTTGACAGAACCATGTTTTACTCATACCTCACAACCACATGGTTAGATCAAGCACAACAGAAAATCTCGCTACATTATCAAAACTGCATCCATTAGGCCAAGGATTAAGAGCAAGGGAAAAGAGGAAGGAGTAAGTATAAGTTACAGAAGCATTTGAAGTTTAATACTTGCTTACATGACATGGCATTCTTATTACTGAATGTCCAGTGCCACAGTAACAGTATTACTATCACAGATTAAATAAAAAGTACAAAAAAAAAAAAAAAAAAAAAAAAAAAAAAAAAGAAAAAAAAAAAGAACCACATTGAAAGTTTCCTCCACCATTTCCCAGAGTCAGTCAAAGAAAATGTCCTAAACATATCAGGAGAAAACATCCAGTAAGGAACTGAGGGTGGGTGACAAAGAAAACAAAGAGAAGCTGAAAGGACCTGTGGGTTCTTCTTGGACAAAGGTGAAAAGACTGAGACTAGCAGAAGGTGCATCAGGGCTGGGAGGTACATTGTGATTTAGCTCAGACACTGAACTTTACTTACAGCCAAAATGGTGAACTCCTGCAAAAGTAAAGATAGCCAAGAAGGAAAGAAAGACAGAGTAATCCCAATTAAGACAAAAACATGAACTAAACTCTCATGTCCTCTACTCAATTTTATTTTGATTAGAAGATGTTGCTAAGGGGTACCATCTTCAGCAGAGAGAAAGAATAATTCATTTTAAGTGGCATTAAAAAATTAAGAAAAGATTGGGGTTAATTACAGATTTATCATAGGATGATAATGCTTCCCATGCATTATTCTTCACTGCTTTGAATGTATTCTTTAAAAGCAGCTCCTTTGAACATATATCCATGCTATGCCACTTAAAACCTTAATAAACCAAACAAACATAGGAGAAACAGATTCCTCAGGGGAGGGGAAAAAACTCCCAACAGTCATATGTTATCTAGCATTTGAAAATGTCTAAGAAACACGTATGATATAACTACATGGAATATTTCTATGAACTAACAGACAAACAGACAAACAATATTTTTTTCAAATTAATGATTTAATACTTAATATAACCTTTAATCTTCCAAATGTCTCTAATGAAATCTACTATGACTTCCTAGCTTATGCAGTGCAAGATCTCCCAATGACATATTTAAAACAAATATAAAAAGTATTTAAGTATTTTAAGAAACGCTAACATTTTTACAGCATTTACTGAGGTGTAAAGAAGTGTTTTTAGCACTTTTTAATACCCAATAAGTGAGACTGCAAATGCATTTCTTCCCTTCTGTGTCCAGAGTAAATCACTGTTAGCAGTTTACAGTAAACAGCTAAAATATTTAAGGACAAGGTCCTCAACAACTACAAGAACTTTATGCAGCATCTCCCTGATAAGCTGATAGAAAGAGTAAGCACAGAAGCTGTATTTCAGTAAGTCTGCAACACTTCTTGATTTTTTTTTTTTTTTTTTTCCAGGAATAGCATTTTGTAAAGGGTATGTAAACAAACCTAAACTGCATGTGTGGCCATATTATAAACAGGCTGTGGAGACATTTGCTGGCAAGAAAACACTTCTAACTCAGAGGAAAAGTTGTGCTGGCAAGGTTGAGTAGAAGTCACTCTGTGGCAGGAATACAGCTGTTCTACTCATTAAGGAATTGAGTGGTACTACGGGTTTGAGAAATTGAATCCCTCTCTGTTTTATGCTGCCTTAAAACACATTTTCGCGGCTGCCAATGCTGACAAATTGCTGCCTTATTTTGTATTTCATTTTGTCTTTTCTTCATATTCAAAGCAACATACTAGTATGAGGGCATGAAAAACTTCACAACTGCTGCGAATTTAAGTGATACATCACACAGCATTAGGAGAAGAGCTGTTAAACATACCAGCTTAAAAGACAAAGACTAAGAACAATCAATAAATCAGTACTTCAAACACTGTAGAACGACAATATACCTGTAATACTTGAAAGAACAAGTGCACTGGTGTCGTAATCAATTATTGTAGATCTTTTTCTTTATATTAAACTATGGTAGAAAACCCTGCTTGTAAATCACATACTGTAATTCATCAATAGATTCATTATTCCCTTGTTTATTTTGCCAATCAATCATTTATAATCTGTTAGGAACATAATGCAAGTGCATAATTGTTTTTTGTTTTTGTTTTTGTTTTTTTTCTATTAAGAAATCAGTGCACACACCTGACAAGCAAGGTAAAATAAAGAAAGAAACATATTTCAAAGAGCTAGGGCCAACATCTGTAAATCTTTTGTGAAAATATCATAGACATTTGTAGCTTAAAGTGGTGTGTAAATTGCTGTTTCACCCCAACTCTAAAGTCATATTTTCTTTGACACAAAGCATTTCTGATTCACTGTATGTGTGTGCCCACAGAATGTTTTTAATGCAGCTTTCTTCTCCAAGTATGCCATTGTGAATTTGTAAACACAAGGAGGGTGAGAGAGCAGTAGCTTCAGCCAATGTAGAGCATGAAAACAAGGGAAGAAAATGTTCATAATTTATTTTTTTGAAGTTGTACTAGCTCTTTGATGGTAGTATGCTTTCCTGTGTTTAAAAGCAGCTCAAGAGCTACATTTTAAAAACAGTAGTGGCAGAAAGGCAAAGTGCAAGGTAAGTAAAGGTGTCAATTGAAATATGGACTAGCAGGTGCAACCTTCTAAATAATTTACGTAAAAGTATATTTTGGTAGGTTGTGTGCAAATTTGTGAGAAAAAAAGAAAAAAATGGAGCCGCATGCTAAGCTCTTATATTCAGAAAACAGAACTACTTGTAATCTACAAAGGAAAACTACGACTAGCTATAGGTATTGACGAATGTTAATACACATGCATCACTTTCCTAAAAGCTATAACAAACTTTGCTTTTTGGGGGGAAGAGAGAGAGTATCTGCAGTTAGTCAATCTTACTGCAGAGCCAAACCTACCTGGAATGAAATACTGTTCTTTAGCTAAATAAAGAGAAAAAAAATAGAAGATGCACCTGAATGTCAGCAAGCAAAGAATGAGTTTTATTAGATTAACTATGGACTACCGTTAACTACAGATAATTAAGTGAAAAAAATGTGTATTCACAATGAGAGCTGGTAAACAACGAAGTATGAATAGTTATAGATGTGTCCAGAATACAGATAACAAACAGTTCTCATCTGGTATTTGCACTTGAGACTGAATAAATTGTAGAATGTGAAATGCACCTGGAACAGCTGGATACCATATGACAAAAGTTAGGATTTGGAGAAATGTAAGTAGGAAATGGAATAAGATTAGAAAAAGAAAACAGTAAATTTCAGTATGAGGTAAGCTCCCTGTATAAAATGATTATGTCATGTTTCCATATTTAGCTAGACATTTTTACATCCTTCACATACTCCAGAGTCTTGTGGAAATTTAAAAAAATTATTTATGTAGGTGATACTTGTAGTGAATAATTTCAGCTTCATTCTGAAGTATTATATTTTGCATTTCATCTGTTAGATTTAAGGCTACTCAGAAACAGTGGTAAATGTGTTAACTATACTAAGTGTTCCATGATCCAAGTCTATGATTTCCATGATTTGCCCCCACTTCAGTCAAAGAAATAAGGATTCTGGAATGTTTAATAATTCCATAGAGAGTCAGCTGCTTTCATTAGAACTTCTAGAACCATTGTTTTTGCCAATAAAAGAAAAATAGCAGATGAAATAAGAAAATTACCTGAGCAGCGGAATTTTTTGCTTTTGATCTGGCCAATCCTTTTGTTTGCCAGACGGCGGGGGCTGGTGCAACGGGCACCACTGGTCTCAATGGGGTTTGTATGAAGATAATCCGCCAGCCACTTCAGATGGCAGTCACAGATAAATGGGTTTTGAGCCAAGTGCCTTTTATGAAGAAAAAAACCGATATTTTCACACATTATTTCCCTTTGGTTTCAGTAGTTCCTGATATTTTTAGTACACTGTACAGTATGAAGTCATACTAAAGACAACCATAAACAAGAGCATACATACAAGGTCTGGATTGCACGTAGGGGTGAGAAGGTGCCTTTTGCAATGGTCTGAAGTTTGTTGTCATACAAAGAAAGAAGATTCAAGTTGTGCAGATCTTGAAAAGCATCAACTCGCAGGCAATTGATCTTGTTGGCATTCAATAATCTGTTTAATGGAAGACAATTATAAAACTGAAATAATTTGATCAGTGTTGCTGCAGCTTCAGCTTTTTTCACAGATAATTCTTTGTGTGTATTTGTAATCAGAACAAGAGATACAGTAGCAAATATTAACTGAGAGTGACACAAGGTATTTTCAGTGAATATCTTGAAATATCTTACTTAGGTGCTCTGAAATTAATCCTAAATATTTGCACGTTGGAGTTGAAATGTGTGGGTTTGTTCAGCTAATATCACATTTCTTGTATGTCCTGGTAGAATGTGTGTGTGTGGTACTTGTGCAAAGAAACGAGCTTAAAAAATCAAGTGTCTACAAGAAAAACTAGTTCCTTTTGCCAGATAAATAAACAAACAAAAAAGGAACTGAACACTGTGTTCATTAGCTGGAAGAGATGTGCAGTGGCACTTTTAATTATATGTTACTAATCAGCATGCTGCCGCATTAACAGAGTTGTAGTAAAAACTGGTAGCATGGAACATATCCAAATCTGTTTTGGATCCTTTTTCCTCTCCATCTTCAAAGGGAACCTTTTCTTCCCTTTACCCCCCAGATTTCTAAAGTTAAAATAAACAAGCCAATCTAACCAACTCTTTCATGCTTTGAAGATTTTTTTTTTTTAAGTCATTCAACTAGGTGCATTTTTATAACCAAATATTTTGGGGGTTTTTTTCCCATATCCAGGCAGGAATCGAATGGAATAGTGGTTCTGAAAACCAATGCTCTGATAAATAGTTTCACCACACAAGCCACACAAGGAGAAATTTACTTAGACTGAAATACGTGCAAAGTATATCAAGTTATGGATATTTTATTAATACAGAATAAGCAGAAGTTTAGAGATGTCTCTTCCCTTTTTTTTTTACAAATTCTGAAATGTGTTTTTGTAACTAAAATTTCTTTAAAGGAAAACAAGAATGAATACCTCCCCACTACTACACCAGTTTGTGACTAAAATAAAGCAAAATGTAAACCTCTAGGTGGTGCTAGAACTTACATTTTCCTTGTATTTACTTATTGCCATCTTCAATGAGTTGTTAATAACACACATTTTGTCAATCACTACACCATGAAATCTGGACTTTAAATACTTCTATTCAAGTGGGAAGAAATTTTAAATTCTTTAAGAAGAAGCTTTAAATCAACACATCAGTTATTCTGGAACAATTTCTTCAAAAACCACCACCATTGTTTGATGGCCTATTTCACTAATTTATTTTACACACTACAACTAGTGCACAGCCTCTTCTGCCAAATACTGACAACATTTAATAAACATATCACCATGAAATTCTTCTTTATGCCCAGTAGTAAATCTAAATAGAAATTATTTATAAGATTACAGACGGAAATTTCCAAAGTGTTAAATGAAATAGCAGCTGGAGTTTACAGAGTCAATTGTACAGAGAAGGGCATCAGAAAACATTAAAAGTCATCACTGAAACTGTACCGCAACTCTGTTCTTCCATGGGTAGAACCAGCAATACAGTTACATAGCATTTCCACTACATATTTTCTCTGTATAAATTATACAAATATTCCTTCTTCTATGGTTCCCACACAACTTTATGCATAGTATCTGCTGTTTACAGGGCAAGACGTTATCATATCTTATGTGGTTTATCCTTATAAATTCCACAGAGGATAATAATTTAATTTTAATAATTTTAGGCTGAGACATTAACTGAGATATGATCAAATTTGTGGATGAATGACAAGCTGGCCTACAACAGCCTTGACTCCTTTGGCTTTAAGTTAATTTGTTTTTATTATACTCTGATCTTACATATGGGATTTCCTGCCAGTTCTTCTCCAGGCATATATCACTCTTCAAGTTTGCCCTTCTGCGTTATCCCAAAATAGAATAAATATTTTTTAAAAAGTACTTACAGCAATTGCAGAGAAAAAAGTCCTTCAAACAGGCCCTTTGGAAGTTCTGTAATTTTATTGCCATAGAGGACACTGTACCAGGAAATAAAAAAGCAAACAAGGCTGCCATTATGAAAGGCATATACTATGTGGTTTTGACTTTAAAAATAGAGAAATTTGGATTTTCTTGAGGGAATTTAACAGCAACAATTTGATACTTGGAAGATCCTTGTGGCCCTGTGAGGCAGCAGGATCACACATTTTCCCAAAAGGTGTGTTGTCCAAAGAGCTCTCAGCAGAATCAGCACTTTACTGTTTACAGCCTTACTAAGGGATCTTGGTAAGTGGATTTGCTGTTTGTAAGAACAACTAACCAGGGAATAAAAGAAATGTTTGATTTTGTTCAACTCTGTCATGAATGTGTTTATAAAAAACCCATCCATTTTTAGTGTCCAGCTTTGATACAATATTCGATTATCACTCTAACATTCTGAAATTATTTTTACAGCTTTCAGAATTGATTGAATTTATATGAAAATTCTGCAGAGAGCAAAAAATTCAAAATTAATTCACTGTAAGAATATGAGAAATTTGCTTCTGCTTTTACATGTCAAACAGATACCTACAGTGAATTGAGTGAACGCAAGCCATGGAAAGCATCTGGAGCTGCTTCAGAGATCTGGTTATTGCTCAGGTCACTGCAATAAATGAAATTTGATTCAATTAATTCAAGCCGTTTTCAAAATAGCAAACATTAAAATAATACATAATTAGAATTAGGCATGGAAGGGAGAGAGAAATTAAAATATTTATGTGAAACACTGCCAAAGAATTTTAATAAAAAAACCACTAAAACTGACAGTACACTGAAACAAAAATACATGGTGAAAAACAGACCTTTCAAATACTTCAAAAAAAAATGACAAAAAGATTTACTTTTCCTAATTGCTTAAGTACATTTTATAAAGAATTCTCTGTTTTCTGTGGCCACAGGATTATACAGCCTCAAAGGTATTCCAAAATAACAGTGACTTATCCCCATTAATTAATTATTTTTTTTTAATAGAATGTTCACTGCAGTAACATACTGCTTCTATGCAGAACCATATAAAATAATTTCAATACTTGGTAAAAAAACAATTATTGTCAATGTGACAAAGATGCTATATGGTCTTAATCAGGATGCCATATCAGTTATTTACCAGTAGTAAAACTTTCTTAAATGCTCACACATTGACTGCAGTTCTTCCGTATGACCTTGACTAGTTTTTTATTTTGATATATAAGTATGTGTGTGTGTTTATATATATGAAAACAAAAAAAATAAATCTAGATTATTTGGTACATACATTCTTCGAAGCTTTTTATACGGTGAGAAAGCTCCAGGAGGTATGACCTTGATTGAATTTTGTTCTAATCGTCTGCAAAAGAATAGTAACATAAGCATACAAAATCCAAACTAAACAACAATCTAAAGCCATAATAAACTAGAAGGGAGAGACTTTAACAAAGAAGGCTGCTTTTGCTTTCTTTTTCAGTATAATTTTTATCTTGAGAAACAAGGTCATTTCATGTTAGTTTTCATTACAAAAAATCAGGTTTTGTTTGTAAAACCAAAAATTTTAACCTATCAAGTGTAATGTTGTAAATTAAAACTCAGTCTTGATTTTGTATCTAAAGAAAACTTAATTTTCAGAGCACACAAGGTTTTTGTAAAATTTAATCTAGATTTGTCATTAAAAAAATTTACTTCCAATCTATTATTCACATACAGCGATTTTTATAAGCAATTATTCTTAGTTTTTTTTAGAAATGTCTAAGGACTTCTGTGAATTAATCATTCAAATATGCAAACCATAAGAAAGGGGAGAGGAATGTTCCTATAGAACAAATAACATATGTTGCTACCTGCAGTAAGGCAAATGCCTTAATTTTAAACATACACACATGTTTTCTTTAGATACAGTACGCAACACATTTTCTTTATGATACAATGCTCAGATTGCATATCCACACTTCTAACTTCTTTAAACAAGTATTTTTATCTAAAATTGTAGTTTATGTTACTGGCCACATTTGCGTTGTATTTACAGTGACTGTGACTGAAACCTGCTATACTGCAAAGTATGAATTTGCTGACGGAAACAGTTTTCTAAGAATTTCTTGAACTTCCAGAGATTTGCATATGGGAAATCTATGCTGATACAGACCTATGGCCCAGTTGCCAATAAGTCAAAATAGATACAGCAATAAGCATATTTAAAAAAGAAACTACTTCTTCACATACTATAGTATTTCATGGTTATAGCAGTGCAAAAATTTTATTATGTAGACATAAGGAATGAAACTATTAATACTAAAAGGTACAACAGGAAAAGGCAGTATTATTCAACCATACCATGCTTATCTAATAAGCTTTCTATTTCCCTCTTTCATGCACAGGTATCAATTCTTACTGTGATCTAAGTAAATAAAGACAATGCCAAAAATCTATTTCATATAAGGAATCAAAATTCTGTAGAATTTACTGCACTATTTTAAACCACTCAGACACTGATTCAGACTCTAAGGTCAAAAAGCCTTTTTAAATTTAGATGCATGAACACCAGCCTATTTTTTTCCTTTTACTCTAGTCTTATTAACTCTCTTCTGTTAAACTTTTGCTCTAATGAAGAGACATATGAATCTCTGTGTGTGCAGTGTAACTAATAAGCTCATATATTCACTTTGAATAAGCCCTTCCAAGAACCTATTCATACAACAATTATTTCTTTTTGTAAAGTTTCTCCAGAGACCACAGCATAGCTGAATGAAAGAAAGATTTTTTCTACTGCTTTTGTGAAGTTTTTGTTCAGATGGAGATACTTATATATTTAGTACTCAACATTTCTTGTCTGACTATGCTTTAGCTTAGCAGAATTTGGTTCTGAATGGCTTATAAAGAAGCCAAGAAAAAAAAAAAAAGCCTTGAAAAATCTTCCTGACACACAGAAAATATCACTTCGTCAGAGCTGTTTTTGACAAGTTTCATATTTTTAAAAAAGTCCTTAACTAGGAAAATGTTGCCTAGCTAGAGTTTTCAGGTATATTTTAAACAATGCAGGGAGTCCTATGGCAAAAGATTGTTAACTTTTTTCCATAAACACAATATCCTTTCATACGCTTTCTTTGCCTTGGCTGAGCCTTTTGGACCCATGAAACACGTTTAGCATCAGACCAGTAGTATTAGGCTATAAAGGATCAAGGTAACTCTTCTCCAGTACACTTGAGTAGATGCAGAAGGCAAACATTTGAATAAGTAAAAACTTGCTTAAGTTAAAGGTCAACACCAAGTTAGACCAAACCCAAGTATTTTCTGTTCTTACACTACATTTTTAGCTTGGTTTCCTCAGAAAATAAAGATTATGCATGCTTATCATCTAGGTATTTTTCTACTCAGCTGGCTAGGTCAAAGAGAGGTAAAACTTTCAGATAATAAATTTCTAAAAATTTCCTTACATTAGCAATGGGAAGGAGCTGAGAAACCAAATTAACCCAGCCATGAAGGGAATGGCAGCCATCCATCCATTCCTGTTACACACTCTATTTGGCAGCAACCAACTGCCTAACCACCAGGGATAGCCTGACCAGACATTTATCAGGTGTGTAGCTTTGAAAACCAGCCAAAGAATCTCTTGCACAGGGAAACATGCAGGGCATTCACAGAGGACTGCAAAGAGGAGAGGGCAGTAAAAAGGACAGAGAAGGATTAGTTCATATTACAGAGGATGACTTGAACTGCTGGAGAGAGAGACACTGGGAAAAAATGCCTCTGTGTGTATGGGAAAGACAGATACTGCAGTGGCAATGCTCCCACCTGAGGCTGTCACTAGCATAATTTATAAATGCTGCTTATTAGCCCATGATGTAGAGATTTGTAACTTAGGGTTGGAGGGACTCCAGTCTACATTCACCTATCTGTAACCATACAATGCTCTTAACTAGACAAGATATGGCAGGTAATTCAAGAAAGACAACGTCTAATGTTAAATTAAGACACAAAGTATTTTCCAGTTTTATTTAATTTATTTTCAATTTAAAAAGAAATTAGTTCTATAAACTGAAGTACCTTACAGCATACATATATGCCATGTTTTGTGAGAAGATGGAATAGCAGATTTAATTTAGTGCTGCCCAAATCTCTACAAATTATATGGGTCCAAAACCTGAAGAAGTCCCACTACAGTATATTTCTGAAAGCTAATTTTCTAGCAGGTCTAATAGAGCAAACTATCAGGTCACTGGTGGATATGTAAAATGAACTCCATGTCAGCTTCACCTAACATTTCCTTTTGCTGAGGAATTTATAGTCTAATAGACAGACTGTGCAGTGCTGGGATAAATTTACAAGCTCTTCTGGATAAAGGATTTGTCATAGTAGGATCATCTAAGTATGTCTTTTCTTAACTTACACCAGAGTGTACGCGTTAAAACACATCACATTTTTGAAAATGAGATTAGTATAAGAAAGGAAAAATAAGATTATATAAATACAGAAGAAAAATCTTTTATACTTCACTTTGTCTGTAAAGAAAGTAAATCAAATTCACATTTTCAAGCTTTGTTATCCCCTAATCTTCTGCTTTATCTTCCCAGAATCAGCTGAATTTCACCAAGTGCAAATTTGCATCCACTATTCCAGAGAAAATCTAATTAGATATATTCCAGGGTCACAAAGCACAGATAGACTAATATCTTAAGGAAATTTGCATTCTACTGATAAAAACCATAGTAATTAAAACCTCCTTTATATTAATTCCTCATAATAAATTAAACATTTTTAATTCTGGGATACGATGAGATGTACTTATCTATTACTGAAAAAATCAGCTAGTAACTGCTTGCAAATGACATGGCCAGAGGTAGCATTATATTAGAGAAGAACAAAAAGCAAAGCTAGTATCAGTATTTTTCCACGGAACTTGTATTAAATTTTGTACACAACATCTCCTTTCAATGTCATCCCAGAAGTCATTCTATTTTATAAATGGTAATCTATGTATCATATATAGTACCTTGGTGGTTTCTTTTCCAAAAGGCACAGTCAATTTTAGTAGCATATTTAATAAGATAAGAGAGGAAGGAAGTTAAGTACATGCTTCATCAAAGCTTGCACTGCCTCATGTAGAAGTACTCTGCCCATCACCACACAAATGTTAATTAATGCTCTTAGTATTAAGTCTCCTGCTCCTTTTAGTGTTGCACTTCAAAGAAGTCCTGCATCAATATATAAGTGTTTTACTGTCTTTTAACACTGCCAAGCTGGTTGAAACCTTTTTTGAAGACTATTCCCTAATCTCTCCTATCTAGCAAATGTACTGTGAACATTTATTTTTCTAAATCTTTCCCCCCCTGCTTATCACTGCAGACACTGTAATGTACAACCACCTACTATTCTAAGAAACAAAGGTGCTTTTGCAGTTGTGACTTCCAACCTAATCAAATCAAACCAAAGTAGGTCCCCAGCTGTCAGACGGATTCTTCCCACCCGGTCCCCAGAGAGCCCTGTGACATGTAAATCACTTGACACTTTCCAGGAGGATGCTGTTCTCTACTATAAGCCTGCAGCACACCATTACTGATTACTACTTCCGCACTTACAGAGACAGACAACATGCTTATTTATACTGACACTTTTAAACTGGCTTATTTTCCCACTATAAAAAGTAATTTCTATGAAGAAAGACTTCTGCACCACAGACTGGGAAAGAAGTATATGTTCTCTACAGAATAATTTTGATTTTAAATCATGCAGATGGGGTACAATATACTAAGCCTGCCCAAGAGGGAAAGGTAAAAAATGCTGCACAGAAATGTGCTACACCTAAATGCATGTTAAGGGGTCGGAGATATATCTGAGAAAAATTATTTCATAGCAATAATTTTTTTAATTTTTTTTAAAGAAAACACAAATTTGATTATGGAGCAGAAAACTAGCCATATATTTTATAATTAAACAATAAGAACATAACATCTGGATTAAGTAAATTTGGTCAATACAACAGTGGCTTTAGTAGTTAATTAATCTATACTTTTAATTCCAGCATCTGCTAATTCACAAAAAGCCTGCAAGAAGCTTGTCAAGAAACCCCAAAAGAATTTTTATTACAGAGAAGAAAGCATAAGCTGTGCAATGAGTCTGATGTATTGCACAGATGCTGATTATACATGGTAATAAAATTGACAGCTCTTCTTTGCATTTTCCCCATCTGCTTTTAAAGTAAATGGCAAAAACAGCTGTGAGAAAACAGAAAATAGATTTCAATGATGGGATTCAGAGCAGGTCCTGAATCTGAGGAACTACAATACACAGCCAGCACATCTCATCATATGCAACATCTGCCAGTTTGGGTTTTTTGTTGTTGTTGTTTGTTTGTTTTTA